GTATATCATACAGCAGTTCCGAATCGGTTTCTTTGCAGTTAGTGTTTTCCCTACTATACATTTTACATTTTTACCAGTGCCAGACTATGAATCGAATTGAAGAGTAAATCTGAAATAATAACAACCACCACCACCTCCTGGCTTATCCCAAGTCTTTGGAAGACTCGATAGGTGGATAAAAACGCCAACACCTGTTTGAACATCTGGATGACTGTGCCACAAACTATAGCAATAGGACCTAGATTTATATGCTGCTCCACAGCGCTTTACAGCCTTTTCTAATAGTTTACAGAGTCAGCATTTTGGCCCCAACAATCTGGGTCCTCCTTTTACCCACCTCAGAAAGATGGAAGGCGGAGTCAACCTGGAGCCTGGTGAGATTTGGAATGCCCAAATTGCAGGCAGCTGGCAGTCAGCACAAGTAGCCTGCACTCTAACCACTGTGCCACCACACCTCTATAATCATTCCCCCCACCACCACCACCATTGTTTCTTAACTTTCACACTCCTCTATAATTCTCATGAAATGGGTAACAGAACCAATCATCCTTTGGGAAACAGCTATGGTCTAGGGATCCTTAAACTGCCCTGCTCCATCTATGGGAAGGTGCTATGGAGTTCAATCTAATCCAAAATTCTTTGGAGGGTCCTTGGTACTCTCTGAGTTTGGTTGTTGTTATTGTTGTTGCTTGAAGACGTCTCATTACCCAAACTAGTAACATCATCAATGCTAGTGATGATGAGTTGATGAAGTTACCTAGTTTGGGCGATGAAACATCTGCAAGAAACCCACTCGAGAGAACAGCAAGGACCCTTCTCATTCTCACCCTGAGCTACAAATATTCTCCTTTATTGGTACAAAAATTCTTTTCTGGTGAAAATACGTCATGCTCCGATTCGCCCTGCAAGAAGCAACTTGATTTTCGATCCAGGTGTGTGTGTGTTTGGGCATCCATTTCCGTCTTCTCAGCCTCAGCAGCCCCAAAAGGAGTGAATAATAAAAGAGGTTAGGGTGGAGGTGGGGCACTTAACAAAGTATTCTTTTGACTTGACAGGTTTTTTGGTTTTTTTAATGGGGGAGAAAGGGAGAGGATCAAGGAAGAAATCTTAGATCTACTGTGGATAATATTTTGTAGACCTTGGCTGGTTGGGTTCACATTCTCCACAATTCATCTTGGTTGTAATCTCCTTGGAGAGCAGTTAACTAAAAGGGTCTTTTTTGGTGAACGAAAATGGTATTTCTGGAAATAGATACATTTGTGCCTTTGTTTCTCTTGCTAGGGCCAAACTACCCCTGCTGGTTGAGTATTTTCCCTTGGGCTAATGCAGGGGTGAAATATAGCAGGTTCTGACAGGTTCTGGAGAACCGGTAGTGGAAATTTTGAGTAGTTTGGAGAACCAGCAGATACTATCTCTGGCTGGCTCCAGAATGGGGGGGATGGGGATTTTGCAGTAACCTTTCCCTGGAGTGGGGTGGGAATGGGGATTTTGCAGTATCCTTTCTCTGGAGTGGGGTAGGAATGGAGATTTTGCAATATCCTTTCCCTGGAGTGGGGTGGGAATGGGGATTTTGCAGTATCCTTTCTCTGGAGTGGAGTAGGAATGGAGATTTTGCAATATCCTTTCCCTGGAGTGGGGTAGGAATGGGGATTTTGCAGTATCCTTCCCCTGGAGTGGAGTGGGAATGGGGATTTTGCAGTATCCTTTCCCTGGAGTGGAGTGGGAATGGGGATTTTGCAGTATCCTTTCCCTGCCACGCCAACCTAGCCACACC